CCAATTTGACTTTTCTGGACATGGAGGGAGAGGTCGCTTCCCCGTGAGCTGAGCCCAGTGCTGTGGCCTCTGCTCCCAGGCAGTGGCCAGAGCTGTGCCTGGACATGTGGTCAGCCCTGCCCTGGTGGTCAGTCCTGCTCTGGCTCACACCAGCCTGGTTCATCCCTCCCAGCAGCACAGGGCCCTCCTGCCATCCCCTGGCATCGCTGGAGCTGGGAAGGGCTTGGCTGGATCTCTGTGTTGGAAGAGCTCAGGAGGAACCGTTCTGTCCTGTGCACCCTGCCCTGCTCAGCCCTCAGCAGCAGAGACCTGCCAGGAGCTGGATTTATGGCAACCAGAGCCTCCTGTTGTCCCCATGGAGCTCTGAAGTGGCCCTGATGAGAACAGGAAGGGAGAGCAGAGAGGAGGCGTCTCAGCTGAGGCAGGAAACCACAACAGGAAGCACCAGTGGTTCACAGCCAGGCTGAGGGACCAGCAGAAACCATCCCAGGCACAGCTCAAATCAGCCCAAATTGTGAAGCCAAATTCACCAAATGGAGCGAAGTGGGGTCTTAGCACAGCTGCCAGTCTGGAAAGTGGAGGTGAATGGGAACACCCTGAGGCTCAAATCCAAACTGGAGTTGGTGCTTGGGACCAAAGCAAAACTTCCTAATCCTGTGATGCCTCCAGGCTTCAAAGCCCAGGCTGGTTCCCAGAGCTGGTCCCAGAGCTGGTCCCAGAGCTGATTCCCAGAGCTGGTCCCAGAGCTGGTCCCAGAGCTGGTCCCAGAGCTGGTCCCAGAGCTGGTTCCCGAGCTGGTCCCAGAGCTGGTCCCAGAGCTGGTCCCAGAGCTGGTCCCAGAGTTGGCTCCCCAGGTTCAGCTCCTGAGACCAGCTGGCTGCCAGCTCTGCCTGACCTCAGCCTGCTCCCAGGGGAGGGCAGCTCCCAGGAGAATGGGCTGAAGGAGGTGAGCAGTGAGGATCACAGCTCCTGGGTTTAGCTGCAATCAGGTCCATGAGTCACGTTCATGAGGAAGAGGAAATACTGAGTGGGCAGAGGGACATCGATGGCCTCCTTTGTGAGCTGCTGCTTTCCACTGGGATAAAAGGTCATGAGAGCTGTACCCAAACCTGCTGAATCCCTTCTCTGGAAAGCCCAGGAGCAGAACACCACAGCAAATGGAACACCTTTGTCAGTGGCTCAGCCAGGTGAAAACGAGAGCGGAGAAGTTATTGATGACATGCGAGCCCTCACAGAATTTCCAGCTGCCCACACAGGATGCTCTGTTATAAACAGGCTGTTTTTTCTCTCCAAACACGGAGCTGGGAGTGAAAAAACCCTCACAGAAATAGGAGAGCTACCCAGGGCTCAGAGTTTGGGTCAGGTGGTGCCACCCAAGCCTTGCTGCCACAGATCAACCCCAATAGGAAATTATTCTTCTGAGAAAAACCTCCCCTGTCCCAAGACATGAGGGAAAGTCACTCCCTGAAGACTGAGAGCAGATTTGAACAGGAAAAATCATAGTCCCTCTGAAGGTTTTCATGTTTGTCCTGGTGTCCTGGCTGGTTTTATTGCCCACACAACCAGCTCAGGGTCTCATCTAACTCCTCTTCCAAACTCCAGCTCTGTTCCTTGGCATCACCTCTGGGTGGGCCTGAGCAACCCTGAACAACCTCAACAGACCCACACAAATCTCCTTCAGCTTTGTTCTCCCACGCTGCCAAATGCAGCCAAAAATGAGAACCAGTTCCATGGACCAACACCTGAAAGAACCTGTGCCATGGACCCCCCACCATTATTCATTTCAATTAACAGAACCTCATTAAGAACAGCTTAATCTGTGTCCCTGGGGCTGCAGGTGCTGGGTGTTCCCGGGGATTTGGGTGGTTCCACAGCTTGGGCACAGGGAGCAGGGCTGGAAGCCCACGGCTCCTCTGGTGATGGCCACGTTGGCAAGCTGGTGTCACGATGTGAAGATGCACCCAGAAAAAACAACTCCCACGTGAAATCAGTCAGGTCTGTGCCCCAAGACACAGGAAAGGCAGGCAGGAAGCCCTGGAGATGTCACTCACTCTATTTATAGCTGGCCACTCGTTTTTACTCAGATCAGACAAGACCCAACAGGAACTGGTTTGGTTTTATAATTTCCCAGAACAGCACTTGGTGAAATCCAGGCCAGCTCCCGAGAGCAGGGGGTTGTACTGGTGAAACTGGAGGCAGCACTGGCAAGCTTCAGCATCCTGTCAGGACCATGGCAGCAATAATCCCCCACACCACAAATAATCCCTGATAACAAAGCCCTCAGCTCTGCCCTTAGGGTGGTTGGGACAGCCTGGGGGAGCAGGGACCTGCCTGGAGGGGATCAGGCGGGGAAAGGCTGAAGGATGGGAATCGTGTGATGGGGAACCAGCCTGGAGAGGGATCTGAGGGGCTTCTGTCCTTTGGGGGGTGGTGTAGTTTGGGGTGGTTTGTGTTGCCAGTGTGGGGTGGTTTTAACAATTCCCTAAATGGAGTTTAATTGGGGAAGGATGGGGAGAGGCAGCTCAAAGGAAATGCCAGGAAAACATGCCTGGGGATGGCTGAGAGGGGAATTCAGCCTTGAAATGGGGTCTGAGGGTTCTGAACTGCTCCAGGGGTTCCTTCTGCTGCCCCTCTGGGCTGGGGTGTCCCGTGAAGAGGCTCCAGGCTGGGTTCTGAAGGGCACAGGGATGGACCAGGTTTGGGATTGCTCCAGAGTGGGTTCCTGATGGACACAGGGCACAGCCTGGGTTTGGGATTGCTCCAGGGTCATTCCTGATGGACAGGGACACAGCCTGGTTTGGGATTGCTGATGGGCAGGGGGACAGGATGGGTTCCTGATGGACACAGGGCACAGCCTGGGTTTGGGATT